AAAAAAAATAATAAAAAATAAATAAATCAAACGACCGATCCCTGAACGTCTGCAAAGTAGGCTAAGAAAATTGCGCAATGATTCTCATGGTAAATATCTTTCTTGCTTCTCTTATATTCTCTAAGTGCTGCCGTTTTTGTCCAGATTTCCTAACAAAACGACAGTAGCACATCATCATTTATCACTATATTTTTTCTTGTTAAATAAAGACAGGACGAATGATTCAATTTTGCATGTATGTAATTTTGTATATTTTCACATACTGACTTATATAGTTTATGATCCGGTTCTATTGCTTAAAGATTTAAAACATCTATGATATCTAGAGCATGTCTTTAATGTAAGATTAAGTAGCCAGTGACACGTTTGCTGATTTCTTATGTTCTGATTCAATATCATGGTGAGTACAATAATCTTCTTATAAGCAAGCAACAGCACTCTGATATTTGTATCTATATTTATATGTGATTAACTTGTATTTTTTGTATCCTCCTTTTTACCTACCAATTTAAGTTGATATTATAACAGCGAAGTAAAAAGTAAGAAGCATTACATAATAAATTGCATAAAATGTTAATGAATATCCAACGATGTACCAGGAAATTTCAAAATTCTTTATCAACTGCAAGTCTTTAGCATCAATGCACAAATATACACCTAGGCCTTCTTGTTTTTGATGGTTATGTTTATGTATTAAAATCAATAGATTTAAATGAATATACTAGAATACATGTGAAGTTGTATATACGTACCGATGCCAATGTCGTTTCGACACGTCAAGTGACTCACCTGTAGCTAACTGAACTGTTGCTAATTGGCTGTTCTACAAATACTTGACAAAATACTGTAAGAATTAGAATAACAAGTAACTTATGGTTTTACAGCACATAGAATTAATTTCGGGGCTTCATTTATAATTCCATTTGCTGGATCCCCGTTCTACATCAAGGCATATCATAACAAGTAACGCCGGTTGGTAGGATGGATCCCGGAGGGGGTGGTTGTGATCCCGTTGGTGGATATGGCAGTCCCGGAGGGGGTGGCTGTAATCCCGTTGGTGGATATGGCAGTCCCGTAGAGGGTGGCTGTAATCCCGTTGGTGGATATGACAGTCCCGGAGGGGGTGGTTGTGATCCCGTTGGTGGATATGACAGTCCCGAAGGGGGTGGCTGTAATCCCGTTGGTGGATATGGCAGTCCCGGAGGTGGTGGTTGTGACCCCGTTGGTGGATATGGTAGTCCCGGAGGTGGTGGTTGTGATCCCGTTGGTGGATATGGCAGTCCCGGGGGGTGGTTGTGATCCCGTAGGTTGATCTTGTGCCAGAGGGGGTGATTGTCTGTCCGCTCGGAGGTCTTGTCCCGGAGGGGGTGGTTGCCCGCCGAGTGGTGGTGTTGTCCCGGATGAAATGGTTGCGATCTTGCCAGTAGTGTCAGTCTCAGAAGGGGTATTCTGGTCCTAAAATAAAAAGAAAAATTTTAATTCGAGAATGCAAGAACTGAGAAGAAAATTAGAACCTTTTGATAAAATCTAGTTAAGACATATAAGATATTTGTGTAAGGCTTTATAATATAAGATTTAGCACTCTAAAGAAACAAAATATTTGAATCCCATACCTGTGTTTGTTTGTTCAGCCGGTTGTTCTTCTTAATCGTTTCTTGTTTTTGACAGTAACATACCAGGTAGGAGAGTAGAATAATCAGGAACAAACACAGGCCGGCCCCGATAGCAAAGAACGGACTAACGACTATTATGAAGGCAAATACAGCAAAAGCAGGAGCTACTAGAATTATGATAGAAAAAAATAAACAGGTTGTAATGGGATGGTCATCGTCCAACGTTAACGGTTCTCTGCTCCCTCCACTGGTTCTGCTTGTCTTGGTTCTCTTTGTCCTGAACCTTCCGCCACTAGAACTCCACCCACCAAAATCAAAAACCCCTCCGCCACTATCAGAAAACCCTCCGCCACTGTCACAACTCCCTCCACCACCACCTCCGCCACTGTCACAGCCACCTCCGCCACTGTCACAGCCACCTCCGCCAAAATCACAGTCTCCCATGGATAGACCTGTCTGCCCACTTTGGGGACTCCAATACTAGTACTGAGCAAGCTGGAGCAGAACACTCAGCTCAGGGATAGGACGTATATATCTGAGGCATAAAATGGCACGAGTTCCAAACAAGACGTCCTATTTGTACACTTTCTACAAGCACGTTCTGTCAAAAATAGCAGACGGCTTCCTATGGCGTCAGTACCCTGACACACCTACTGTGTGAGTCATGGTCGAGTACACAAAAGAAGAAAAGTAGGGACATTGTAAAATCAAGACGGTTGACATACCTTTTTTAACAGCCATTCAGACTTCAAAACACACTTAAATCTCAGAAAAAATATATATGTTAGAGAACTTAAGACGATTTCGACAAGTCTGTAATAAGTATGAGAGGGAAAACAAAGATATAATTACAATCATACGCTTTTAGTACCCTAGATAAAAAAAATTGCCTCGCCCGGTTATTAACCGAATAACTGACCCAAACATGATCGTAGCCGATGATTATCAGGGGTGCGGCATTTCTTAAAATAGATATTGCGTGAGGAATCGTGACAAAACTTCGATGAAATATGAAAGAAAACAAGTAATGGAGACCTTTTAAAATAGATAGTTTAAATTAAAATGAAAAGAAATGTTAAAATAGCTGCATTTATTCAATCATAACCCAACTGACCAGCCCTTTCTTTTCGTTACATATCAATCTGGTTATGTACAAATACATGTATACAAGAGAAACTGTTTCTTTAGTGTTTATTCTTTTTGAAATGTTTTCGAGTGTACTGTGGCGAATAAATTAAACATGAGACCCTGTGCCCAAGTTGTCTAACCACACGTAAACGCGGTCAATGAACCCAATGTGATTGTGTACGCAGAGTGGACGCCATGACCTCTAAATTTAAGCGTAATTCACACTTAAAACGAGTCTGTTTGTAACCCTTTCGTCCATTTTTGAAAATCATTATACAGCTATGAAGAGATAATGTAGATGAATAGAAGATGCATGATTCAAATTGAGTGTCACCGAATAAGCACGATGCACTATTAAAATTCAATGAGGTGCCATACAATAAATCTACTTGTGAAACTGCTGCGTACGAATGTTGTTGGAATGTTGTATTAATACCATTTCTGAACACTTTAGGGATCGTTTTGATTCTACAATACGTACATAATGTGTTTGCATTTATAGTTTGAAACGTAATTTGCGCTATAGGTCGATGTATAGCACACTCCATTACATACATTGAACATTGATGTTCGCCCGTAGCAATGGAAATTTCCATCCCTTTGTTCAATGCTGAGACGTTCTGTAGGTCAAATATTTGAATAATGCCCGGTTATTATCGGTCAATGCCTGACAGTTACTTTTGTTTTTTACGAAAGACTATAGGTACAACGCGACAAGCCTTCACCAGGCCATTTCTCACCGTTCCACACCTATTTCTCACCGTTCCACACCCATTTCTCACCGTTCCACACCCATTTCTCACCGTTCCACACCCATTTCTCACCGCTCCACGACACGATTCCAAACGCTCCGCAACCATTTCTCACCGCTCCACACCACGATTCCAACCGCTCCGCAACCATTTCTCACCGCGCCGAGGCAAGATTCCACACCCATTTCCCACCGCGCCAAGGCAAGATTCCAACCGTTCCGAAGCAGGATTTCTCCGCGCTCCAGGGCAGAATTTCTCGTCGCTCCAGGGCAGAATTTCTCGTCGCTCCAGGGCAGGAAGCCTCCTACCCCAGACTTGTGTACAGTGGACGGTCCCCAATATTCAGGGGTCATTTCCCGGCATGCTTTGTGACCTTTGACTCTCAGAGCGCGCGAGTTTTACTGCAGGAAGGACTGCAGATATCGCCCAAGTTTGGAAATTAGTGCTTTGTACTCCGCAGCTGTGCAGTTTTCGAGGTAAATTTTTTCCCACACGTCTTTGTAGAGGTTATTGGCATTATGTCTACGTGTAGTTTGATATAGAACTGCTCCGCCCACCCGAGGAGTTTGGTGCCGTCCGAGGGCGTTAGCCCGAGGATGGCACCAAACTCCAAGGGTGGGCGGAGCAGTTCTTTGTCTGGTGCACGAGTTTTGATTATGAGAGTAAAAAAAGGAATAAAATTGGAAGACATACTATAGCTAGAGTAGAGGAATTGACCTGCACTTAGCCCAGTGTGACAAAAATGTGCTAATAAAGTTCTTCAACGTTATCATCTTTTTAAGTGTGTATCAGTCACATGTTTTTTTAAAACATTTCACTCAGTCTAATTCATGTAAATGCTTTCTTGCAGGGCCATTCATTGGAAAACACACGAATTTCTCACCAGTGTCAAAATGACGAAGGAAGGGATCTGGCGCTGCAGTAGAACGTGTGTCCATGGCATCACTTTTCGTACAAAAAAAAAGCAGCATGGAGTTGACATTATACACACATACCAAAGTATTTTAATTGATGTAGCTATTGTCATTGATTTTTCATTTCAATTGTATTAAACTTGTGCATGCTGGAATTAGCTATAAAATAAGTAAGGTTTCTGAAAAATCGTCCTAAATCAGAAGCCATAAATCTTCAAGGAAAATGAGTTGCTGAAAATTAGTTTTAAATCTTATAAACCTACATCAGGTTATAGGGATAAGCCGGTTGTAATTCCTGCAACTGCTCCATTATCTACTCGGAATGGTCGGGAATTGGTTGAAAAAGCGTAACGATAATATCACGTGACTCTGCCAGGTCAAAACTACTACTCTATCCCGACTCACTCCGACGAAAAACAACAACAACGAGAAATATAACGTCAAATGCTACACAGTATCAAAACCCCTCTCCCCAACAAGCTACTTCCCGGTTAAATATTGGAATGATTTTGTTGTTGTTTACATGATGCGCGTGTTTCCTATAGAAATAAAAATAATCTCCGGAAAGACTGTTTCTTCTGTTGGATTTACAGCCATAAAGTTGCGTATTTTACCATTATATCCAATGGGACACCGAAACTGGAGTATGAGACTCCACATTTACGTTAGTCATCTGCAGTCCACGGGGCCACAGCCATTTATCTCGATCGCAAATTTCTCGGGAAAATAAGGGGCCCTTAGATTAAACAGGGCATCTAGCACAAGCCAACACATCATAGTACACGTTAAACATACTGTTAAGCTAAGGGATCCACGATTTTGGGTAACCAAGATTTAGACTGTCACAAAGCATGCCGGGATATGACCCCTGAATTGGGGACCGTCCATTGTACACAAGTCTGGGGTGGGAGGCTTCCTGCCCTGGAGCGACGAGAAATTCTGCCCTGGAGCGACGAGAAATTCTGCCCTGGAGCGCGGAGAAATCCTGCTTCGGAACGGTTGGAATCTTGCCTTGGCGCGGTGGGAAATGGGTGTGGAGCGGTTGGAATCTTGCCTCGGCGCGGTGAGAAATGGTTGCGGAGCGGTTGGAATCGTGTCGTGGAGCGGTGAGAAACTTTTGCGGAGTGTTTGGAATCGTGTCGTGGAGCGGTGAGAAATGGTTGCGGAGCGTTGGATCGTGTCGTGGAGCGGTGAG